TTCCAAAGGTGATGCAAGAGGATACTTAGTGGTTACGTATAATTGTTTCGGACAAAAAATATTATTTCGAGCTCTAGTTATCATTTGGTGAGTTCGCTGAGTGGCTACAGGTGCAGGAATTGTCGTTAAAGAATGCTCAATTGTAGGTAAAGATTGAGAAGTACAAGGAGCAGCCGTACCTGGATCACAAATCAGAGTGACGGTGGTAGGAGTGTCATGCACAATAGGTGTGTTAGTGGAGCCATCCAAAGAGCCAAGACGAACAGAAGGCACTGGAGAAGGCAATGTGGCATTCATAGGGGAAGGAGCATGAGCTATTACTTTGACTTGATCAGGTTTATTTTTTAAGGGAAACAAGTGTTCATCAAAAGTAACGTGTCGTGAAAGATATAATTTACCCATTTGAAGATCCAAACATTTGAAAGCATGTTGAGTAAGTGAGTATCGAGGAAAACACAAGGTTGAGACTTTGGTTCGAGCTTGTTTGTTCGGTAAGGAACAAGCCAAGGGTAACATTGACAGCCAAAAGTCCGCAACTTGTGATTATCGGGGGTACGATTAAAGAGTGCTTCAAAAGGGCTTTTTCGTGCGAGCAAAGGAGTGGGGAGACGATTGATGAGGTACACCGCAGTGGTTAGAGCATACGTCCAGTAAATAGAAAGGACCGAGGCATGATGGAGAAGCGTCATCCCTGTTTCAACAATGTGACGATGACGACGCTCAACCGTACCATTTTGTTGAGGTGTGTGTGGGGCGGTGGTGTAATGGCTGATACCACGGCTAGTGAGAAAGGACCGAAGTTTAATAAATTCGCCATCAGTATCGGAAAAAATGTTTTTTTATTTTGCATAAAAGCTGATTTTCGACTATGTTGGTAAATTTGACAAACATGGAGTAAACGTCGGATTTGTGGTGTAAGGGATAAAGCCAACAATACTTTGTGAATTGATCAACGAGTAAAATATAGTATTTGTAGCCATCAATAGAAGAAACTGGTGAGGGTCCCCACACATCCGCATATAAAAATTCGAAAGGAGCAGTACTCTTAAGAGAAGTTGAACTAAAAGGTAGTTTATGTGATTTATTGCATTGACAAGAAATACAAGATAATGTAGACTCGGAAGAAACAACAGGTAAGGCATGACTTCGAAGTAAGGACGACAAAATCTTTTGAGATGGATGCCCCAACCGATGATGCCAGAGGTCAAAAGTTACCCGAGTTCTAACTAAGCGAATTTGATTTGCTTGAGGTGATGAGGATGGAAAAGCTACAGGATATACACCATTCTCACACCTACCGCGCATGAGTGTTGCCCCCGTCCTCCGATCCTTCACAAGGTAAAAGAAAGGGTGAAACTCAATAATAACATTGTTATCAAGGGTAAATTTATGAACATAAATTAGATTTTTGTGAATAAGCGGCACATGTAATGTTTCTTTTAATGTAAGAGTTTGAGATGGAGAAGGAAGGGTTGTGGAACCAATGTGAGCAATTTTTAAACCTGTACCATCTCCAAGAACCACCTCATCTTGTCCCTCGTATTCGAAATGAATAGAGAGATTTGCCAAGTCAGACGTAATGTTGTGAGACGCCGCTGAATCAAGAAGCCATTTGCCATTTGATGGTGTAGTCGAGGTAGCACAATTTGCAGCAGGATGTGACTGAAGTTTGAAAAATGTTTTTGTAGTGTGTCCAGGCTTGTCACATATTTGACAAACAACAGATGATTTCCTTGGTCCATATTTGTTGGTGAAACCTTGTTTAGAGCGAGATCTGTTGTTTTGGAAACGAGTATTAGATGGTTTCGGTTGAGAAGAATTTGCCGTGACGACAAGAGCGGAAGCCTTGTTCTCCATTCGTTTGACGTAATTTTCATGACCAATGAGCAGATCATGCAATTCAACAAAAGAGAGAGAAGTTTCGCGGGTGCGAATGGGTGCGACTATATCTCTAAAGTCCGAACCAAGACCATTAAGCACGTAAAGTGTCAAATCATCGTCGGAAACTGGTGCATCAATAAAAGAAAGTTCATCGGCAAGTCACCTTGACTGCGGGAAGAAACTCAGACACCGTGCGAGAACCCCGTTGAATAAGGGTTAGATCCTCCTTCAACTGCATAATCCGAGCCCGAGATTTGCTTGCAAACAGACGGGCTAGATGTTGCCAAGCATCACGACTGGTAGTGGTCATTGCGATGAGAGGCATCACGGTTTCAGAAACCGATGAGAAGATGGCATTAAGTAGCAACTGGTCTTGTCTATACCAGTGTGCATAGTGAGCCAAATCAGCATTGGGGGACTTCTCAGTGGGTGTGGAAGGACACGGAAGGGTTCCATCCAAGTATCCCATGAGACCATAACCAAATAAGATGGCTGTGAATATTGCATGCCAAGAAGGGTGATTTGATGCTGTAAGTTTGACGGGAAGTTAGCTTGAGGTGTTAATGGTAATGAGAGGCAAGTCAGAAGAAGAGCTGGTGGGTGTAGACATTTTCCCAAAAAAAAAAAAAAGAGGATTGTTATTCTCGTAAGAGAAAAACCTACTGATACCATATAAGAGTTGGTCAAACAATTGGTGGAGAAAACTTATCTTGGCATTCTCATTATAATTTGTCTTATATAATAAAAGGATGAGACTATCTAAGGAAATAAATTAAATTGATTGTGAATCAATTTACAAGGAGAAAGATCTGGAATGAGATAACGTAAATCATGGAATGTCTGATTCTATGTTGATTCCTTTATAATATCTCTACTAGCTTTTTTCATACTAAATTGATCAATTTTGTCTATGATTCACTTAAAATCTCACCAACTCAATGCGTATAAGTGGTAGTTGTTGTCTTTAGAATACAATTTCAATCAATGCATTTGGAGTTGGATGAGATATGTGAGCAAAATAATGAACGGTGTAACTAAAACAACATATTAAAAACTTTATTATACTATTCTTTGCAGTACTACACTGATTAGTTTGGTCCATGATCCAATTAAAATCTCAAAGCACAAAAGTTATAGTTTTGTTTGTTGACTTGAATCCATGCATTAAGAGATCGAATGAGTGAGTTATGGGTAAAATGTCGAATGTTGTCACTGATTTAAATGTTTTATATGTAAAGAAAAAAAAATCATGGCTTAGAGCTAAATTTTTTTCCCCTTATAATTGATAGACCGCTCTCATTTGAAAAATATATTGAATTAACTACCAAGGGATTACAATCTTGATGATACCTCTAATTTTTTTATTATTTGTTTGTAAATTTGACATACCCCTCGGCCACATGGAGTATCTATTATATTGTTTAGAGCATCATATTTAAACCCTGCCCAGCTACAATTGTCTCTTTCTATTCATTTTTCTCTCATATCCAAATTTCCGCGTCATAGTTTTGTGGCAGACAGTGGTGTTTCTGGAGTTATAACTTTTACTCTGGTGGTTGCAATTTGATAGTTTAAGCACCGTTGGATTCCTCTCCTCGAGCCCTTTCATTTGATGGTAACTTAGTCATTTTGGAGCTTTGGATTTATTCATTTGGCCCTTTTAACGGGCACATGTATTTTGAGGACGACGGTTCTTCTTGGACATGTAACTTGTTTTCTAGCGGTCGTAGGAATTTGAAAGTTACCTAGTGTTGGATTCCTCTTGTCGAGATCTATCTTTTAGTATTAATTTTGTTCAATTTTGGTTGTCAATTTTTTTTATGTGAGTTTTTCCATTGCGCAGTCTGAATATTGGGTGGTTGGCGGCGGCTAACTAGGGATTTGGTAGGAGGCACTTGGAGTGATGAGTCCTTGAAGGTTTGGTCTACAATTTCGTATCATTCGCAGTTATAGCTTCTCTCTCCATTTCCCTCTTAAATCGCGTTGATTTTGAGTGTTTTGAAACTTCGTCATTTTTTGTTAACTTGCACTAAAGTTTAATTGGAATAATACAACATTGCATTTAACGTTACTAGTCTTGTCTCCCCAAATAACATAACTAAATAATTGTTTTTTGTTTTGCAATTGCAGCTTCATGAAGCCATTGATCTTCTCCTTGAAGGTTCAAAATCTAGTTGAAGCTCTAGATGAATTTGGCAAATTTGACATATATTTCAAGCTATAGTCGACTGCATATTGCACGTTACTACATTTGACTATACTCCTATAGTTTTATATAGTGATATATACATGTGATTGTGTATTCCGATTTGTATTTCTTAGTTACAAGTTGATTTACGATATAATCGATAATATTGGTGTATGTACTTAATTGGCCGACCATAATTTTGGGATAAAAAGAAAGAACACAACTACAGAACTAAAGTTGACTATAGTCATTTGTAGTTGTTTTCAGTACAGTAAACATAACAAGAAAAAAGTTTAAATTTTATTTTCCAAAAGTTTAATAAATAATAAATAAAACAATATATAATATATATAATATATATATATATATATATATATATATATATATATATATATATATATATATAATTTAGTGATGCGTCTGCATATATCTCAATGAACCATTATTTTTTCTTCTTCTAATTCTTCTTTCGTTTTTGGTAAGCAATTTGAAGTTCATTACCAAACACATGGGTCATGAAGATCGGCAACGACTTTGAGCTTCAATACCAACAACTCAGTCAAATCAACGCACCTATTTTCCAAACAATAATTATCCATCTCTTTTACTTTATCCTTAAGCTATATTTCTGTTTTTTTATTCTAATCCAATATGTTTGTTACATGACTAATTATTCAAATAATAACAACATTACTACTAATCATAAAACTTCAAAAAACATATATTCCACCATTAATATGACGCGTGGAATAATTTCATTGGACATACTTAGACATGAAAATACCAACTTGTCCAATACGCAAACAAACCTTTCTAGTTAGCTAAAATATCAAGTGGGTTTAGGACTTTTTGGTCACTCTTTAATATATCTAGAGTCTAGACCAAATATATAAAAGTCTCCACCAAAAAAAAAAAAGAATATAAAAGTAAAAAAGAAAAACATTAATTCAAAATATAAAAGCCAACAAAGCCCTTTGACAACAATAATTAAGCAACAAACCGTAATAATGTCTGTCATTGTCTCTTTGTCTATCACACGCCACTAATTCAATCTCCCTTTTGCTTTTATATATGGATGATCATTTACATAAACAATAAAAACCATACTTTTTCTTTCTTTCTTTTTAATTTCCACATACAAATTAAAACATAGTAGTATTATATTGTTCTTAGTGCATAAATATTAACCTATATATCATTAATTTCTTACGTGATCCTCGATTTCGGTCGATTTTTCGTATAATTGAAGATGGCGAATTCCTTCGACGAAGAGTGTGATTATCTGTTCAAAGCAATCCTCATAGGTGATTCGGCGGTGGGGAAGTCGAATCTATTGTCGAGGTTTGCAAAGGATGAGTTCAGCTTGGATTCAAAGCCAACCATCGGAGTCGAATTCGCGTACCGGAATATTCGGGTGGGCGGTAAGCTGATCAAGGCTCAGATATGGGATACTGCTGGCCAAGAAAGGTCATTTCTACTATTCTCTTCCTCTTCCTTTTTTTTGCTTATGGATAATATAGTTTTTATTCTAATTAATATAATTAGCTGTATGAGGAAAATTAAAGTTAACTGATTTTACGGCTTTTTTTCTTTTCATTTGGAAAAAGCATTCAATCTTGCAAATTACAAATTGGTCATTTGTTTAAAAGTTTTTCAGTTTGGGCTGAGAATTTGTGGGTTCAATCATCCAAGGTGAACGTCATAAATTTTGGATATTAGATGCCAGACCAATCGATAAGTGTTTTTCTGTTCTAATTTCTGGGTAAATTTCACTTTCCGAATGTACTTTGACTCGGTATCACTTTACCCCTTCTACTTTTGATTGCATCGATTTGCTCTCATGTACTTGAAAATTTTATCTCAATGTGGCCCCACCGTTAGTTTTTAGACATTTGACCTTAACACTGTTTGATCTAACCCTTCCCAATCTAAATAATTATTAAAAAAAATTAAAAATAAATAAATTGTGGCTGGGAAAATGGAAAGAGAATTTTTTTTTTTTTTGATTAAATAGAGCATGCCCTTTTGAGAAATGGTTTCTAAAATAGCATAGATTGGTTAATGATGTTTTGCTCTTTTCATGTATGTTCTTCTGGCAAACAAGTTAATTAGATGCAACCATACCATTAAAGTGGGATTCTTAGTCATCAATATTGCTTGAATTACGGCCACCCTACGAGTTAAGGTTTAATTACATAAATACCCCTCATTTTTTGGTAATTACAACCATCTCCTCAACTATGTATTGTTTTTCACGTTCACTCTGACGGCGGCAAAATTATCTACTAATGAGATATTTTTCGTAAGATAATACCTAGTTTAGGGGGCGGTTGTAATTACCAAAATATAAGAGGTGTTTTCGTAATTAGACCTTACCTCTTGGAGTGACCGTAATCTATCCAATTTATGCTATATATAATGTTGAAATCCACTTGTGTACCTGCAAATAATGTTTTAATAATCAAGGTCAAATAACAGCTATACTCTTCTAATGAGAATTTAACTCAAAACCCATGTCATTATTAATATGAGATATATAAATATGTTCATCGGTTCAGATTTCGAGCAATCACGAGTTCATATTACAGAGGGGCACTAGGCGCCCTACTAGTGTACGACGTAACAAGGAGGTCAACATTCGAGAGCTTGAGAAGGTGGTTGAAGGAGCTGAGGGAATTCGGCAGCCCCGAAATGGTTGTGGTTCTCGTTGGAAATAAATCCGATTTAGAGGGATCGAGGGTGGTTAAGTTAGAAGATGGCCGGAGTTTGGCCCAACTCGAACAAGTTTCTTTTATGGAAACTTCAGCTAAGGACAATTTGAATGTTGAAGATGCATTTATAGAAATGATCACTAGGATTTATGAAATCACAAGTCATAAAAAAGGCCTAGAGGCTAAGGAATGTGACCAAGACACCACTACTACAAGTGTTCAAATATTACAAGGGAAGAAGGAAATTTTATGTATTGATGAAGTATCTGCCACTAAACAAACTAGGACTTGTTGCTCCTATTGAACTTTTAAAGATTTTTTTTTTTTTTTTTTTTTTTTTTTTATTTTTTTTTTTATAAATATATTGAATTGCATTTTTTATTTTTTTAAATATATATTATACTGTACTGTGGTGTTCGTGGTCAATTAAAATCTGTCTATTGATATGTTTCTCTAATTAGTTGGGTACTTGGAGAAACTCTAATAGTGGATATAAAAATTGAGTTATTAAGTACTCATTTGATATTTGATTAATATATTAATATTTATTTAAAAATCATCTACTCCAACAATAATTATAAAACTAATTATCACAAGAACCTTTATGGATAGTTTTGTTTGAAATTGTCACATGTCAACTTGTGATTGGATGTTTAGGTTATAACTTAATTTTCAACAAGCATTTTTACATCCGAAAAGATGAATTATCAAAATATAACCCTCATTTGATGACTGCATTGGATTTAAAGATTTCAAATTTCTAATATGTATATAGTGGTTAAAAGTTTGAATATCTAATTTAATAACTTCATTCAAGTTGCTCTCGCTACTTACCGTCTTATGTAGATATGTTGGAATTTCAAGACATAATTTATTTTGCATTTAACCTATGAATTATTTTGTAATTAATGA